ATCTTTCATTCACACGTTAGAAATCAGATCGCACTATTGTTTTCGCTTCCCCTTTGACATAAGAGGCTAGACCTTTTTTGCTTCGGCGCTTTTTGAATTCATATGTACCTAAGTCGAAATTCACAGGTGCTTAAGGTTGGTAAGATAGTGCAAAGTGTTGGTTGACCCTCCTTGGAATTGTGGCGCTATGACAGAATATATCGGAGATCCGTTTTGGCGAGCTATAGACATAATTAAAACTTCTTTCTTCTTTAATCAATCGGTGATGGCCAATATTCTCGATAAGTTTTTTCAAGCCTTAAAATGTCGATCAGAATTTCGGGCCTCCCTGGTGAGGACTGGCTGCCGTTGTTCATAGGCAACGGCAATGCCGGGACCATATCTGAGCAGCTATTTACCGCTTAAAGCAGTGTCTTGGTTGTGCTTTTGGCACCCATCAACAGGTGGAGCCTATACCCATCTGACAAAAAATCCAAAAAAAAAGGAAATAAAAATGTTGGAATTTAAGGGACTCCCGGTTGGCGGTGTATCGCGTTCTGACCCTGCAGGCAGGCTCTCATCCAGCGGGGTATCCTGGAACATCAGCGACACCCCCAGGCAACCTCACGGGCTGAAGTATCGTGGCTACTGGCGTCGTAGGTCGTTGACGATCACCTCGAAGACTCGTCAGTCGGTCGTCTTCAGGATGGCGTCGCGAGTCTGGTTGTAGTGTTGAACGCGGGAGCTCCCCTACTCAGAATCGGGATATTGGACTTCGGGTGGGAGAGTGCAAGAGGAATCGTTTGGTGGGTAGGACCCTAAAAACATTCCTGGGTCCGCGGTCTGCTTTCAACATCTACGGACCATCAAGACCCTCATACCCCGCGTTTCCCCTGGGCGTGGAAACCCAACGCAAATGGTTCAGCACGCGTCCGAAATTTGTAAGAGACTGACATAAAAGCTAATATTCCGCAAAGGAAGAAAACAGTAATTTCAATTACTACCTAAGCCTACTTAACATACGTAAACAAAAAAAGAAATGCTGCCAGCTTTATTAAAAGAAAACAGGGGAAATATGAATAAATCTATATAAACCAATAATTCTAAGATAATTTTTCATTTCCTGTCTGAATGTTGGCGATAGAAGCTCTATTATAGTAATATCTTTTGAATTTGGCTTTTTAACAGTTTTGAATTAATTTATATTATTGCAATAGCCGAGCATTTTTCAATTTTCTTTTGTTGACTTAATATCTAAATAAAGAGCTTTTCCAAATTGATTCACCGGTTCTGTTTTGTTTCAAAATGTATAAAACTGCAGACTTAAATCGAATTCATCATCGAAGTCACAATTTTAAACTTTATGTTAAGGTAGTAGAGTATAAAACTTATTGAAAATCACAATAAGAAGATCAAAAGTAATCTGTTTGTACTGTAGAGCGTGTCAAATGAACGTAATATACTTGAAAAGCATTACCATTTTTTGAGGTCGTCGGATAATTAGCAGGCCTTTAAATAAACACTTTCTAAGTGTAAATACTCAAGCTTAATAAGTAATAAACTTTTCAAATCGTTCTGGGATTACGTTGAGATTTTGACCATTGTTGTTAAGAAAAATAATAATTCAACGTTATTGTGGGCTAATGGCCATTCAATATAGAATACTTGAAAAAAAAAGCAATTTCTGTACTTTGGTATTACTGAGGCAGGGGAAGCGGACGATGAGAAACGTCCTCTGTGCGATAATGGGACGAGTAAATTATGTGCCAAGCCAAAGGTCTGATGGAAAACTTCTTACAAAACATTATTCCTAGTACGGCCTTTTTTCTTTCTGTATAAAGAAATATAGAATAACATATACCGGTAAAGATATTTAGAATGGTATTGTTATATTAAAGTCAAATACATAAAATTAGATCTACGGTTAGTGCTAATTTACCGATCCTGACATCGACCAATGGCGATTTTAAAGGTAGCAAATACTAAACAGGGCATGCTACCAAGCTATAAAACGGAGCATTCCCTTAGGAACATTACTGTTAGACTTAGACTTAGATTGTATCTTCTGTCAACGTTGAAAGCACTATGATATATAAAGAAAATCTGACAAAAGTTGAACGATTTTATTTTTCATTGCTTATAAAAAATATCTTAGTGAAAGAATAATAAGCTATAATAAATGAAATGAACTGACATAAAGAGATAAAGTTACCTAAATTACAATGTTATACAATGTGAATAGTAATTCACCTCAGGAGGATTACATTTAGCTTGTCTTCTAGAAATTAAAGCATACGGCATATATAAAAACAGTATAATTTACCATATTAACACTAAAGTTTATGAAAAGACTAGTAACTTACATTATACTTTTGTTAAACAAAGATGAGAATTTGTTGTTGAAAAGAACAAATATTAAGGAAAAATATCATTTTACAAGGATGGCGCATGTCATGTTGGGTATATTCCAAGTACTAACGCTAAGCGTGGCGACATTTAAGAAGATATCCTTGCCTCGTTTTTACGACTTATTATTTAGGTACTGCTGGAACTTCGACATACCAGCCGTGCTCCAAGACAAAAATATGAAAAGAATTCTCGGGTAAAAGTATTTATAAAATTTAAGCAAGGAACGAGACTTTTTCCTGTATTATCTTTTTTAAATTCTGTTTTTGGGAACAATATAAATTCTTGTGTGATACATAGAGAACCAATAAAAATATTTAATCGCGAAAACTCGAAATTTCTAGGCAAACGTGCTGAGTACCATAGATTCCTGAAGGGGTGATTAGAATGATTGCGATAGCAATTTTATGGAAATGTCTTGGACGGTAGCCAAATCTATAAGGAGACAAATTTATTGGAACATAATAATAATGATAAATTAAGAGGTGAGATCTTGTTTTATTGTCATATTCGAGTATATTCGATATTTTCAAATAGCACATAAGATCAATACCCTACTTAGTATTAGTATATTCGATATTTTCACATGGCACATAAGATCAATACCCTACTTGGTATTATGAGAGTATTAATGTCCAGAGGCACAAAAAATAGATCGGGGTTCTACAGATATTGATAGAGCTGTTGTATTAACAAATATAAACTCACAAAAGGTCTCGAGACCAATAATTAAGAAACGACTAGACAGGTAGGAAAATTTGCTAAGTTTATTGTTGTTTATTTAGCAACGGAGCGGTGATGTAATGCATCTTTTAAAAATCAGGCACATTGATGTAATCATGCATTTCATACAAGTTCGTAAGTACTACACTTACTTTAATAAACATATAATTTTTATTAAGTCGTTTTCAAATAAAATTGCATAACTGATATTATCCTAATTATCCTAAATGGAAACGCTGTATGGTCGTCGAGCGGTTTAGGCAATCCTGTATTGCAATATTATTTTCGAAATACAAATTTTGATACAAATATGAAAAAAATACAAAATTTTGAACAGAAAAACCCAAATATCAATCTGTGCTTGGAAATTTAAATATATTAATATTGTTTTTAAATGGTTTTTTTGAAATTTTATTATTGCTTAGTTCATATTATTATGTATTTTATTTAAAAAAGATAGTTATGAATGTTCCGATTAACATTACGAGTCTACTATTTCAGTCAACACCTACCGCCAAACATTCAATATTAGAATACGGCAGTCTTCTCGTGGAATTTAAGTTAATAATATAAATGAACTTCCAGATCAATTACCGGCTGTCAACTTCACGAAAAAAAAGCAGCATTTTTAGGAGATATTATCAAAATAATTTCTTAGCTTAATCTTCGCATCAACAAAAAAATTGTGAAGTCGGACCTCATTTTCTTTGAGATGCGTGCGTATTATGTTGCAGATTTTTAAAAGTATAAATAAATGACAGATTAAACTTTGGTTCCTGGATCCTGGAAATTCCTGGAGGTTCCTGGAACTTCTTAGTAAATTAATAGTCAAGCCCCAACTTACTCAATAACGTTATCAGTTTTCATCTTAAAGGATAATTTACAAGATATGCTAAAGCGAGCACTTTATCTTAATAATTGGCCGTTATAGTAATTGAAGTCAAGATATTCCAATTTATGACCCGATAGATTATAATCGAAAGCGCTCGAAGTAAGCCAGAATGGATAGAATAAGAAACTGTAAGAAATGGATCGCATTGTTGGATTGCTTGTATTCTTTGTATCAAGTCAATGAATACTGTAATGGATTTGTAAGTATAAGAACCCATTTAGATTTAGCTGGTCCGTACCTGTATTTTGAGACCTTAAATTAAATGGGATCTGTAAAATAAATTATAACTGATTATGATTATTATGACAGGCCTATTGACTGACCAGTCTGGAAATAACGTGTAAAATTTTCACCACTAGGTACATCTCGTAAATGGCAAACTAATTCTAAACTTAAGTCATTTAAAAAAAAAAACAGTTATACCTATATATCTGACTATGGTTATATTTAGAAAAAATCGGCATCCCTAAATGTTGCTAAAAATGAGCTAGTTTTAAAAAAAATGAACATATTATGTTTATAAAACACAGAAAAATATTTGAGGAAATTCTGGAAACGAAGATGCTGTTTAGATGAAAACTGCGAAATTCGTACGTGGATTGATCTCCCTCTAGTTTTGAACGGTTTCTTAAATTCCCAAAGGACGCGACGAGAAAAGATTGATTTTCACAGCCAAGTTTCTTAAGGTTTCAGTTTTTTTATGCAAATATCGACGATCGTTCGTAATAATGTAAAGCACCGGGCATAGTATTTTTTTGGTGTTTTTTATTTCATTTTTTCATTTTGACCAGGTTTTTGCCGGAAACCTTAAAATAAACACTTAACTTATACAACATATGCACATTACATTCCAAGTAATGATTGAATAAATATTTGTTATAATATAGGTTCGTAGAGTTTTGAAGATAAAATATCGCGTAAAATACAACTAGAGATCGTTGTATTTAAGGAACTACATAATATATCTTACTGAAATCACAAACAACGAAAGAATACTTACGTAAACTTATAACCGGTAATGATATTTAACTATCCACATTAATACTGTTTGTTTTTAAGAACATTCATTTTTTAAATAGTTCCACAGATCGAAATTTCGCGAGCGCATTATAAAACGCACTAAAATTAGTTCGTAAATTTCGTTTATATTTTGAATACTGAAATATTAGCGATTTTGATCACTTAACAACACTGCACTCCGATTATTCATTGAGGATCAAAAGTAACGAGGTAATATGTTGTATAGGTCGTGTTCGCCGTCGGGGTGCTGCGATGTGAACGCTACAAGAGGCTGCGTGGTACTGAGTGAAAACGGGAGCGAACGGGAGCTGAGTGACAGGCAAATAGGCATGTCGCGTTAGGCTAAGGACAGTGTACACTATTATAATAATATAATATATTAAACTAGAACTTTTAACATTTAATAATTTTTTGTATATAACATGGGGATAAAGCTTTAAATATAAAAAAATATTATTATGTTCTTTTTTTTACTATTATATGTTGATATTTGGCTGTTTAGAAATTCTCGTTGAGTGATAGTCATGATAGTGATAGAATAAAAAAGATGGAGTGACCAAGTGTCCGAGTATCTGGACATGAGACTGAGCCACGCACTTCACGCGTCACTGACCGACATAAATGACTACAAATTACAAAAAAGGTCATAGGTCACGATGCTCAGCAATGAGCGATCAACTGAAGGAGGAGGAGGATAGTCTTCATTTCCAATTGCCCTTTGGATTATATATTAACTGCAACTGTTAATATTCCTTACTCACATAATATTTTGTTTTGAATTATCAAATTTACGCGGTAGTAATTATAAATTCAGAAATTGTGTAATCAGGTTTTATGTTAAAAAGATAACCTGGTATGGCTATCGGTGAAAAGGAGGAGCAATCAAATATCACTTATTATGATGTAATTTAAAAAGAACCAATAGCTGGAAAACACGAAAGACAGTAGATATAAAATTTGGTGAATTAATAGCATTATATATAAATTAATCGTAATCTAAACACAGCTTTAGCTATTGTGGACGTCTTTTGAATACGCAAAGGAAACGGAAACATTTTAGACGAAGTAATTCCATAAGAAATTATATTATGATGTTTCGTTTCATATTTAAACTTCTTTTGTATCTGTTGGACTCAATGAGCGATTTTTCTTTTCTTTTTATTTAAGACTAGCAGCCCAGTCTTTTCAAAGTTGAACCAGTATCTTGTGTTCTCTATGTAATTTTTTCTTGAACCAGCTACTTGATAACTGGGTTCGTTCATGAATGAGCTCATTCAGTGAATGATTGTACCGATGGTAGAACCTCATGTGAGTTTTCATGGGTAGGTACAACCACCCTGCCTGTCTGCCGTGAAGCAGTAATGCGTTTCGGTTTGAAGGGTGGGGCAGCCGTTGTAACTATACATGAGACCTTAGAACTTATATCTCAAGGTGGGTGGCGCATTTACGTTGTAGATGTCTATAGGCTCCAGTAACCACTAAACACCAGGTGTGAGCTTGTCCACAAATTAAAGAAAAAGAAAAAAAAAACATGTTATTGCTTCAAAAATAACGAATTTTCCTTATAAACTTTCAAACTTTAATTTATCATCTTACTAGGTAGGGGTGGAATTTCAAACATGCAGATATCCGTATGTGTTTATTTATATCCAGAACCAGGTATGTGAAGATTCGTGTTTCCTTCTTTGAAAATTGTGGAGATCCAGACAGCAATGCTCTTGTAACATAAAAGCATCGACTCCCAAGGTAATAGTTCCAACTAATTAGGCTCAGCGTTGATGATCCATTCGGTCAGTGAAAACGAATTTAAATCTTGAAGCGTCAGTAGTTATGTTCTAATTTCGATCATAGAACATCAAAACTAATAATTCATCCTACATATTTGCTATAATTATTTATGACTTTTCAATTTCCCTTTCCATTAAAGTACTGATTAAACGTTCAAATATTTCTTAGAAGGCTTTCCTCGTATGTGCCAGGCGCTCGAAATAATTCAGCTCCCACATAAATTTTATATCAAGCCGAAAATTATCCTACATTATTGTTTGTTTTATTTTAGCTTATTTCGTAAGTAAGCGACAAAAATACTTCAGTAAATATTATACATTTTCTGGTTTGACGTAACAATAATTCTTAAAACACATCAGTGTGGGCTGTGTGATAATTGAGTTGGTTTTTCCTTATTTTTGTTTACGTATTCACGATGCTTAATCTATATTTATTTATTTAAACAAGATATACGTGCTATATATAGCTATAGGATGCTATAGGCTCAAAGAGGCGGATTAAGTAATCAAATTTAGTGAGAAATGACCTTTCTCTTTAAAACATACGTGTAATAACTTAAATATGCATATACATATTTAGTTTTACATTAAAATAGACTACAAATACCTTACGGATAGCCATTATAGAACAGAAGAAGGTCATAGTGGTAACATGATTTGATCATGCATATAGATGCATTTAGTTTTATCTCACGGCGCTTTTCGGTCTTGGAATAGTCCTTGGACCGGATAACTTCCTATAACCTATAAACAAAAGAATAACGTTAGAAGTGTCATAAGCCCGTACGGGTCGGGAATATGGCCCTGCGTCTATAATAGCGAAACAGTAGCTACTCAATACAATTAAGAGTTAGACCTAATTACTCTTTCTTGTCTATCTTAAATGATAATCTGGAAATTAACCGAATCATAAGGTCTTTAAGTTCATGCCTCCTCAAAATATAATTTCTATAATGAGTCCTTGTAAGCTGTGAAATCTGTATGTGCGAAGCAGTCGTGGGCGTCGGTTTAAATCTGACTACCGCTTTTTTTTTGTATTTAGTATTTATAATTTCAATTAATTTTCAGTTTTCATTTTACTTCAAAATATATTTACATTAAGGAGTATCTACCGTTTTTAAGTGACCTAATTTCGAGTTTAATCTTCACTCTAGAAAGCTTTTCTCCTTCGGTAACCTTTTTGTTTCTCTGCGTTTATTTTATGTACACAAATTCAGTTTGAAGTGGAATTTATTAAGAAACGCTATTTATAGAAAAGCAATTTGTATTATACAGAAATTAAATGAATTCAAAATGTTATACACCGTATTTTTTGCGATTTTTACGATTGCAGAGTGACACGTTAATACATACTAGAGGTCCCGCAGTAGTCGAAATTCGACTATAATTAATTGGAATTGTAAGTTTGTACACTATTATGATTGTATTTTATACTTATATAATCACAAATTTCGCCAAGACTACACTATAACAAATATTAACAAAGACAAACAATATTTAATCTATTCTCAATTTGACAACATACGTCAAGAACAAAAGTTTGACAATAAATAGTATGCATGCGTGTGTGCGTCAAATACATGGTATGTAGTGTGTGTAATGTTTTCTTTATTGATTTAATGTATCTTTTATGCATTATTTAAAAAAATTTTAGCATTGTGCACTTCTTCTCTATATTCTCTATAAGTGTGGAAATTTTCATACTCCTCCGTCCGCGCAATTTTCGTAAAAAGGGATACAAAGTTTTTGCTTCACGTATTAATATGTAGATAATATAATAATACACTTTAATAATCTAACGGCTCATCTGACTTAAGTGATCGGCATAGCTCATGAACACCGGTGATTCAAAATGGCGGAAATAATATATTTAAAGTAAGTAATATGCAGTTTTAGACTAGCTCGGTCGTGCAGTTGTAAACGCCTCTGACTCTTGCGCCAAGGGTCATAGGTTCAATTCCCACATCGGGCAAGCATTCGTGTGATGAATAGGTTTGCTTGTTCGTTGTCTGGGTGTTTATTATTTATATATGTATATATTTAAATAAACATATATAAAATGTTATATATGTCAGTTTTTGGTACACATGACACAGGGAATCGTAATTTGGTGTCCGTGCGTGATTTGTTTATTACTCATTTATTCCCACAGACTCCAACAGCCCACCGAGTTTCTCGCCGGAACGCGCGGTTCGCGCGGTTCTCAGTGGGTCGCGTTTCAAATCCGGTGGTAGATTCTGCGGAGTACGACTCTTGCTAGGGTTCGTGTTAGCAACATCATCAGGTTTGAGCCCCGTGAGCTCACTTACTAGCGCGGTGACGCTGATATGGTCTCTCTAGACCATCAGCTTAGGTAGGGAGAAAAAAAAAAAACTTATTTATGTATTATTTATACTAATAGGAAGCTTAGTACTAACATACCCTGCAAAGGCTTTTCTTCTTTTAAGCTATATGGTAATGGGCAGGCAATATACAACCATTAAATGCAACCGACTTACTGCTAACTATGTACGTGCATAGTTCGTCAAACAACCCATGACAAAATACGTACTATCCGTAAACTGAATACATACTGAAAATACCCGGCCAGTGGACAACGAATAAATAAAGTTTCAAATATAGATAAATAGAGTAACATGGAACTGAGCATATCGCAGTTACTATTAAAGTAAGTGTATACTCGTGCGGGGGGGTGTTTAAGCACTTTAAATTGCTTTTGAAACAGCAATCATCAACCCTTATGGACCTTGAATGTAATAATACAGTGCTACATAATAATTATACCGGTAAGTATACTAAGTTGAAACTGAACTGCCGGCTATGGAATGAGCTCCCCTCCACGGTGTTTCCCGAGCGCTATGACATGTCATTCTTCAAACGAGGCTTGTGGAGAGTATTAAGCAGTAGGCAGAGGCATTGCTGAAGTCCATGGGCGACGGTAACCACTCACCATCAGGTGGGCCGTATGCTCGTCTGCCTACAAGGGCAAAAAAAATAATTATAATATTGATTTTGTAGTTCATAAAAACGTGTTCTGAAACTAATCTGGATAATTATTACATTCTATGAGCCTCAAATGGACCTATGAATAAAAATCAATATTTGTGACTTTTTTATTCGTGTTTCCATTGATATGAAATTTAACAAAGTTGTTGGCACATCCGGAAAGGTCGTCAAGGAAAGCTATTATCGTACTTATCGTACTTATCCTACTTTCGTTAGAGTTGATAGTTGTAAATCTGTTGACGCGAACTGTTTAAACCAATACAAGTGTTCGGTGTAATACGACATTTATAACATAGAACATATTTTGTACGTGATTGTGTGTATTAAAGTGAGTTAGTAAAATCCAGACTTATCTCTATATAATA